AGTTTTATATTTTTAGTAGAGACAAGGTTTTACCATGTTAGGCTGATCTTGAACTCCTGACCTCAGGTAATCCACCTGCCTCGGCCTCTCAAAGTGCTAGGATTACAGGCATGAGCCACTGTGCCAGGTTGTAGCTAACCAATTTTTAATCTCCAGGCTCTTTTATCATCTGTTTCTTTCTTGTTTATGGGTGTTTCTGTTCTGATTTTATGACTATTATATATTCTAGGATTTCTCTGAGAATATTATCTGTTTCCTCTAAGGGCATACTTGGTCTTTCTTCTATGGGGCTGGTTCTTGAGCCGCCAGGGATGGGGAGATGACCTGAGTAGCTGCCGCACTGTCCCTGCTCTGCTGTGGTGGAGTGGCCCGTTGCCTGCGGGGTTTTTCTCTGGAGGGCGGTTTGGAGAAGCTCTGTGGAGGTGAGGCAGGAATCAGCTCCTGCCCCATGGACCCTCAGAGGCTGGGAAAAGGTAGGCTTCACCCGACTGCTGCCAGCCACTTCAAGAGCCTTGGGAGGAGGAAGGGAAGCTTCTCGCTATTGATTTAGAAAAGACCATTTGATTTCTTGCCCGAGGGAAGAAGTGTCACCTTGCCACTCCAGGTTTTCTCTGCTCACCAGCCCCAGCAGCATCAGCCTCACCTGGGAGCCTGTTGAAGGTGCCCTGCCCCAAACCTTGTAGGTCGGGATCTGGTGGTCCGCAGCCCCCAGGTGATGTGCACATGAGAGCACTGCTTGCCCCTCCTCTGGTCTGGTCTGGCCTGGTCTGAGAGCTGCCTTGGGTTTCTGACAGGTATACAGGCTCCCCTCTGCCTTATAGCTCCCTTGTAGTATACTCTTCTGTGTTCCATTAGTCAACATGTTCCTGCCTACTTCCAGCATCTAGAAACATCTTACCATTCATAAGTCCTCTCCTGCTATTGCCTTTGTTGGACAAAGTTTCTTCCTTTTCATATGTCTGTACTTTGGTTTCTTTGAGTTTTGAAGGGGCAAATGGCAAATACATGTACACAGTTGGCCATCCTCTGGTGAAGGCTTTTAAGCCAGGAATAACAAGATCCATTATGTCTAAAGCTAGCAAGAACTCTACCTGCCACATGGTGAACTGAATTAGAGGTGTTGGGGACAGCAGCCAGATTGAAGTGAGTGGTGAGTGCAAGGTGAAGGAGTGAAGACTGGACGTAGACAACTCTTTTTCAGAAGCTTTGTTGTGATGGTGACCAGGAAAATAGGAGTGGGGTAGAGGGAAATGAGGGTCTTTTTCAGGTGAGTGAATATGAGAGCATGTTCGCATTCCTCTGGGAATGGCCCAGGAGAGAGGGGAGCACAAGAAGGAGGAAATGGGGAGCTGGAAGAGCAGAGTCCTTGTGTGGAGAGGGGAAGCAGCATTTGGAGCTGTTGCAGGAGGTGAGCTTTGGGTAAACGATTCCTCTTTGGTAAAGATGGGGAAGGTAGAAGTTGCACGGACCCTTTATTAAAACTCAGAAGCCAAGTGAGAATTAGAGCTCAAGTAGAAGCTGGTGAGTTTATTGCGTAGTCAGAATAAAGTACCCCTAGCTGTATTTTCGTACAGTGTCAGAAGCCAGGGGTCTGAAATCAAGATGTTGCAGGACTGCATTCCCCCCAGAGCCTCTAGCATGGGATCCTTTAGCTTTTGGTGGCTGCTTGGCAGTCCTAGACTTGCCTTGGCTTGCTCCATTCACTGCCTTGTTTTCACATGGGTTTCTCTGTGTCCTGGCATTCTTCTGTGTATGCTCGCCTTTGTATTAGGCTCACCCTAAATCCAGGATGATCTCACATCAAGATCCTTCACTTAATTACAGCAGCAAAAACCTTCCAAATAACGCCGGAGCCACAGGGTCTGGGGGTTAAAACGTACGCTTAACTATTCAGGGCCACCACAGAAGCCTGTAGAAGCTTCTGTGGCCCCTGTAGAAGCCTGTCCATTTCCAGGATAGCAGAGCCCAAAGAAGTTCCAGAAATCCCCCCTAAAACCACTGTTTGCATTCACCAGACTCTAAGCTATAAGCAGATGGGCAGTGGCAGTCAGTGTTAAGCCCTATACTATACCATTGGCTACAGTAGTTTAGCCTAAAGTAGTTCACTGTAGACTTAATGAGATGCTTATCTTCTGCTAAGTAGTCCTCACAGTAACACTCTGATACCACTCCTGGCTTTGAGTGACAGTGCTGTACTCTTGTCTGGCGGCCAAAGTTCAGCAGCCATAAACAGGACAACCCTCATTATTCACTGGAAAATTTGTGTAGTTAAAAATCAAGTGTTCCCTTGAGTCCATTCTCATATTTGTCTGTACATTATTCTATGAGTAGACATGGAAACAAAACATTAAGAGATGAAAATATCTTTGATTATGCTCTTGAAGACAACTTTTTTTTTTTTTTTTTGAGACAGAGTTTTGCTCTTGTTGCCCAGGCTGGAGTGCAATGGCATGATCTCAGCTCACTATAACTTCCGCAGTCCCAGGTTCAAGCGATTCTCCAGCCTCAGCCTCCCAAGTAGCTGGGATTATAGGCATGCGCCACCACGCCTAGATAATTTTTTGTATTTGGTAGAGATGGGGTTTCACCATGCTAGTCAGGCTGGTCTCAAACTCCTGACCTCAGGTGACCCACCTGCCTCAGCCTCCCAAAGTGCTGGGATTACAGGCGTGAGCCACCATGCCCAGCTGAATACTACTTTTTAAAGATGTATATGCTCTGGGCCGGGTGTGGTGGCTCACACCTGTAATCCCAGCACTTTGGGAGGCCAAGGCTGGCAGATCAACTGAGGTCAGAATTCAAGACCAGCCTGGCCAACATGGTGAAACCCCATCTCTACTAAAAGTAGAAAAATTAGCTGGACATTGTGGCGGGCACCTGTAATCTCAGCTACCCAGGAGGCTGAGGCAGGAGAATCACTTGAACCTGGGAGGCAGAGGTTGCAGTGAGCTGAGATGGTGCCACTACACTCCAGCCTGGGCAACAGAGTGAGACTCAGTGTCAATAAATAAAATAAGATGCATATGCTCTGAAGGCTAGCTACATTTTATTCTTTCTCAAACAACTTTTACAGTGGCTGTAAAAGTTGTTTGGCTCTGGTCATTTTATCTTTTTTGTCATCTGCAAAAGGAGAGATCCTTTTCCTATTCACTGCCTCTAGTACCCAACTCCAATACTCCTTTGACCTCACAGGCACTTAGAATCCATCAGTGTCTCCATCATTTCTCAGGCTTCACCTCCTTCATAGCTTCAGTGCCAATCAGATGTTGTTACTCCTTGACACACCACCTCAGCACTTCAACACTTTGTGGCTTTGTTATATTCAGTTGACAAAACCCCAGCCTGGTGAAATTCAGTCATGTCTGCCCCATGTCTGCTCCGTCCTGAAGCTGAATGTGACTCTTTCATTAATCCCCCTTTAAGTTCATGTCCACCCCAGGTAAACTTCATGCTGCTGAGCCCACCTGCATACTGCAGTTCCCCAGTCTCTCCTTGCCCCTCCTGCTCTCCTCATCAGCTGTCACACCTCCTTGCAGCGATATCTTAGTTCCCAGAGAGCACAGAAGCAAGCTCAAGAGAATGTCAAGGCCAGCATTCTGCTCCTTCGCTCTGCCTCCCTCCTGCTGTCATGGAACCCCTGTCCTAGGCCCTCACTTCTGTTCCAAGGCATCCCTCCAGGCCTCTACTGCGCTCTCCCGCATCAGAGATTCCTCCCTCGCCTACCCTAGAAGCCTGCTGTACTTCTCCCACCTTGACAAAAGCCGCTCACAAGCACCGCAGCCGTCTAGCATCTGTGTTTTCCTTTACCAACAAGACTCCAGTCCCTCTCTCCACACCCTCTTCAACCTTCTGCAGTTGTTCCTTTGCTGCCACAGCTCTGCCAAGCTGTTCCATGTGGTCTCTAGTGATAACCTTTGTGTTGTTCAATGTGGGGGCCGCTTGTCACGTCTCATCCTAGAGCTGTCGGCATCAGTTATCCCCAGTACCCATAGGAGGCAATCCCTTCCGTCCCATGAGTCTCTGCACTGATGTGCACCTTCTCAGTGCTGTCCACTCCTTTTCTCTCTTTGTAGCTGAATATGTGACTGACTGTGCTTATCTTAGCTGGAGCAGAAGCTCCATAGGACAGGGTTGTCTACTTGATTCACAGATGTATCCCAAGCTCCTAAAGTAATGCCTAGCATCCATGGGTCCTCAAGAAGCCCTGGGTGAGTGTGTGAATGTCGATCCTCCTCAGTCCTTTCTGTTTCGCAGGCTCAGGCTTTGCTTCTCCACCCTCACTCCCGAAGTGATTCCATCCAGCTTCATGGCTCCCAAATTTATGTCTCCAGGCTGACTGGGTCATGGGAACTCGTTATCCTCCCTAGACCTTCTCTTTCCCTGGTCTTCTCCTTTCCAGTAAACAGCAACTCCATCTCCCTGCTCCTCAGGCCAGAAACCTGGTGCTGGTTATCTCATTTGTCCACAAATACTGTTCATTCCACCTGCAAGATGGATGCCTCCACTGCTCTCACCCTGGTCCAGGTGTCCTGCCTCCCTGTCTCTGCCCCTGCCCCCTGGTTCTTTGTTTAGTTCTGCAACATTGTGGGCCACACCAGGGTGCTCTTTGTTCAGAACCCTCCAGTGGGTCCCCCTCACTCGGAATTACAGCCTAACATGATCACATCTCTTGCCACTTTCCCACCACTCATGCACTGTGGCCTCACTGGCCTCACGCACTGCCTCACCTCTGCTCTGCCTTCTGTCTCAGTATCACACATGTCTGCTCAAGTGTCACCTTGCCAGTGTGGCCCTCCCTGAGTACACCCCTCTCTGTAAATCAGGCAGCCTGCCTCTGCCCCATCAGTTCCCCATGCCTAGCCTAGGACTTGTCACCATCTGCCACAAGGTGTGTTACTGCTTGGTTTTGTTTGTGGTCTCCTCCTCCCCTTCTCCCCTCCCTGTCCCCACCCGACTAAAATCTGAGTCCCATGAGGGCAGAGGTTTTTTTTTTGGCATCTTCTTCGGTATATCCCTGGTGTCTACAATCATGCATATTTTAATTTATTGTATGAATTAACAAATTCTGCAGTGGGACATTGCCCTAAGGTTCTGTCTTATAAAAGGGACAGAAAAACATATAGCCTGCTCTGCTGTTGGCTCCTTAGCTTCTCCATGGCTAATAGGAATGGTATTTTTTATGAGTTAATCAAAGCTGTAGTCGTGAGTTAGAAGGTACATGTAAAGGCAAATATGTGGAGATTGAGTTGCTTTGGAGGGGTGCAGTTATCTGAAAACATGGAACAAATCAGTGGGAGTCTAAATAGCACCCACATATATGGCCCTCTTTTTAAACATACCTCCTTTATGAGTGGATACTTTAACAGCCTAGTTTCCAGTATAACTTTGCAAAACAAGAGAAAGGAATTTTAAAGGCTGTCAGGTGCTATTGCAATCTGTGGCTTAGTATTTGTATAACAACATTTGTGTTTTGCCAACAGATGTACTGCTTAAAGTACACATGAGGATGGCCTCTTGTGTTCTGCTTGCCTAGATGGAATGTTAGGAACTGATTATTGAGAAGAGGCTGACACTACCCACCTCAGCTCCCAGGCTTCAGGGCCTTGGCCACTACTCCTTTGGGCCCTCACTGACCCCTGCAGCCATCTTTTGCAACCTCTGTAGCCTGAAGGGACAACCGCTTTCTGGCATGTTGCTCTTTCCTTGATGGCTTATGAGCTGCTTGAGCACTGAAGCATGTGTGACTCCCTCACCCCTTCCCCTGTATAGCATAGCACCCCTAACAGTATACATAAGGAGCAGCAGTGAGCAATTGATGCCGCCTCTCCTGGATCTCCAAGAGAATGGGAACAGCCAGGGTTTCTGGATTCACTCACGTGGAATCTGGTCGTTGGTGTCTAAGTGTGCCTGTTACTTGTGCCCAATGTCCAGGTTCACTCAGGAGGCTTAGCCTCCTCCTTTGCCTGCTAGGTAGCTATACTTTGGGAGAGTGTTTTTTTATGCTGTAGCTGATTGAACTTTCTGGGTCTCAGCAATTCAAACAATGTTTTGTTTTTCTTCTGGTCAGGTTACAAAGGAAAGAAAAGGAATCTGGTGTTGTAGGAGGTGATGTGTTGTGTCATTACTTGTTTTTTTAAGCTTTTTTTATATTTTTGCAATGAGGCAGGTTTTCTTTGAATAAATAATGCTGGGAACTTATCACATAGAAAGCATATGTGTTGTACTCACTACATTCTGAATTATCTGGTTTTATTTTTGTTTCTTGAATTCACTTATAAACAATTCAGAGACTGCTTTTTTAGCTAACAGAAATAGGAAGAGAATCTATTTTGTTGTTTTTTCAATGGGTTGAGTTATAGTGATTGTGATAAATTGGTAGAAAAGCAGTGTAGTAAGTAAACCTCACATATGGTATATCATGAACATTTTGTTGCTTTTTTTGGCTTGTGACCATCTTCATACCTTTTTTATATTAAAAGTCTCCCCATTGTGTATATCTTAGTAAGAGGCAGGTGGACCCTAGCTTCTACCTAAGAAAACCTGAAGGCGGGGTTGGGGGCTTGTGGTGTGCTTCCTTCCCATGCTGCCCATGACCACTGCCGTGGCTTTGTAAGGATCTAGGACCCCGGGCCCCTCAGTGGGTATCTTCCATTTCTCAAGATTGCCTCATGGTTGTGAGATAGTGGTTGCTACTCTAACCATTGCATCCACTCCTCCAGGTAGGAAGAAGGTAGTCATAGGGGAAAGGCAAAATGGCACTTGGCATCTTAATTTCTAGGCCCATTCAGCAATTTCCATTTCCATCTTCACATTCATCATCTTGTCCTAGGGAACAAGCAGCACCAGCAGCTAAATAGCTGTAATAGCAATCATTTATTTCTCACACATGGGTCTGTATCAGCTGCAAGATGGGATTCAGATCTGTTCTCCAGCCTGTCGTTCCAGGACCCAGGAGGGAGAAGCAGCTGCCAGGGGAAGTCTCTTCGTAGGCGGAGGTCAGGAGTCCAAGAGGAGTGAGCAGAGACACAGAAGCCTCTTAAAGCCTCTTCTTCCCCATCCCATCAACACGTGAGCAAGCCCAGAGTCAGTGGGTGGGAGGTGTGCTCCGCCCACAGACAGTAGAAGCAGAGCAGGCTTGAAAGAGAATGATGAACAGGAGTGCACTCGGCCACTGTCTCCTTAGCCACAACCTAGTCCCATGGTCTGCTGGGAAGTGGGAAATAACTTTCCATAGCTGAGCGCAGGGTCTCATTAGTAAGGCAGATGGAGAACACAGGTGTTGGGGGACAGCTGGCAGTACCTGCCACAGGAGAATGGATATATTCCCTCTTCTTGCTTCCTGGAAACCAGAGGGTAATGATGAAGCCTAGGCTTGGCCAAACCCATTCTGTCCTCAGGGACTTTGACTCTTGAGGGACAGTGAGGGATTAGTTATGATGGTGGCACCTGAGTCCAGTGATGACGTGCAGTGGTGCCCAGGGTAGGTGTCACAGCCAGAAAGTCCCTGTAATATAACGTTCGCTGTGTTTTCAGTGTTGCAGCCTCTATTCCTGCTGCTTTTCTGAGCCTAGTTCTTCTCTAGTTTTCTCTCCATTTCCAGATCTGCTGCCCAAGAACTCCTTTGTGATTGAATTTAGCCAGAGTTGATTTCTATTGCTTGAAACCCAAGACCTTGATGCAGTGTGCAGGGTCTGGGCAAGGTAAAAACACACTTTCATGATTTTGCCTCAGGTATAGTAGATGAGCTTAGGCTTTTTGAGCCAGGTAGTCGTGGGATTAATTCTCAGCTCTTGCACCTAGCGGGTGACCTCAGCAATCAAGTCACTTTCCCTCCTTGAGCCTCAGTGTTGCCTTCGGTTAAACATTGCCCTCATGTGTTGCTGAGCATTCACTGAGATTGTATATAAAGTGATCATTGTGACGGTATTGGCAAATAACTTGGGAAAGTGTCCTGGTCTATGCTTTTTGATTGGCTCTCCGTCATTTGGGTAATGGGATAGTGCTTTAGGAGTACCATAGCAGCTCAAGGGGCCCTTGTGGAAAGAGTGTGAGGAAGTTCAGGGACAGGTCTGAAATGAATCATCCTGGGCTTAATGCCTCTGGCTGGGCAATGAGTACAGTTATCTCAGGCTAGCCAGTAGTCATTTGTTCTGAGACCACGTGGACAGATTTTTAAATTTCATTCTCAGTCTAGACTTGAATGCAACAGTTCTTATTACTAACTTACCACTAGTTGCCACTAATGAACAAAGACTATGAACAGGAGATTCATAAAAGAAGAGATACAGATGGTCAATGAAGATAGGAAAAGAGTTCTGCCTTTTGGTAATCAAAGAGATGCAAACGGAAACAAAAACGATGCCTTTTCACCTATCTAATTTGTCAAGATTAAAAAGAAAGCAACGAGTCAGCATCAGCTGGTGTTCATGCCCGCACCTGCTCAGCAGCATGCTGCTGTCTGCTCCACACGCCAGGCCAGCCTCCATGGCGCAGCCAGGCGAGGCCTTTCCTTCTATACAGGCACGTTTGGATTCACTGTTGGATAAGTGACACATGTGCATACTTCACAATTCAGGAAGTGCAAATTCCAGAGTGATGCACGGTCTGAGTGTCCCTGCTGCCCTGCTCTCCCAGCTGCCTAGGCCCTCTTCAGGGAACAGCTGCATCCAGGGTCTTTTCTGTGTCTTTTGAGGTGTTCTATGCACATACAGACACATCGAAACCTAATTTTATTTTCCCTGCACCTGCTTGGGCTACTGTAAGCTGTTACATTTTTTTTTTCTAGAAATTTGTCCATTTTGTCTGACCAGCATAAAGCTGTTCAGGTTATAGTTTTTTATACCTTTGCAACATCTGTAATCGTGTCTGCTTTTTCATTCCTAGTGTTGTTTACCTGTACCTTCTCCCTTTTTCCTTGTCTTGGTAAAAGTTCATCGGTATCATTGTTCTTCCAAGAAGCAGACATGTAGGCATTATTGCACTATATTACTCTGTCTTTTCTAGTTCATTAAATTGTGCTTTTGCTTTTATCCTTATTATTTTTTCTACGGTCTTAGAATACTGTTTTTCTCTTCTCTCTTCTCCCCTCCCCTCCTGTCTCCTCCCTCTCTCCCCTCTCCCCTCTCTCCTCTCTCCTCTCTCCTCTCTCCCCTCTCTCCTCTCTCCTCTCTCCTCTCTCCCCTCTCTCCCCTCTCTCCCCTCTCTCCCCTC